CACAGATGTTCAACTGGACTGAAATCTGGGGAATTTGAAGGCCAAGTCAGCACCTCAAACTCATTGTTGTGTTCCTCAAACTACTCCTGGGCCATTATTGCATGATGAAGCTTATCCTGCATAAAGAGGCCACAGCCATCAGGGAATACTGTTTCCATGAAATGATGTACATCTTCTGCAGCAATGCTTAGGTTGGTGGTACGTGTCAGAGAAAGTAAGTTTCACTACAATGTGCATTAAGTGGCTGGCCGTAATCCTGTTGTTGGTTCACCGCTGTTCCTTCCTCCAGTTTTAATAAATACTGACAACTGCAGACGATGACAGCCCCACAAGAGCTGCAGTGTTGGAGATGCTATGATCCAGTCGTCTCCATCACAGTTTGGGCCTAGTTAAACCACTCACATCCTCTGCCATTATTCCTGCTTCTAACACATCAGTTTTGAGAACAACATGTTCACTCGCTCCCACCTACTAGGTGGTGCCATGATGAAGAGATAATCAGTGTTATTTACTTCCCTGTCAGTGGTCACAATGTTAAGTCTGATTGGTGTACACACACTTTTCTTTGAATTTCAAAGAGTAAAAATTTCTGGGAGGATGATAAAATACTGCAGTAGGTGTGTACCTGTTGTAATTCTTTGTGTTCACCAGAGGAGAAAAGAGCTACCTCAAAGCAAGCAGCTGATGTATGGACTGCAATTATGATGAGGATGGGAGATGTAATATGTATGTATGAGTACACATAAGAGTGTGATTGTAATTAGACTGTGGGGATAATGATAGCACAGGTACAGTACAATTTCCTTTGTGAAGAAGAAAAGATGAAAGAGAACAGGTACGAGGAGAGCGGGACATCCATCATGAGGCGGAGAAAGAGAGATCAGCTTAACTGGCAATGTAATAATCCCTGTGGGGAGGCGGGGTCACTGCAGCAACCAAAGGGAAAAGGTGAGCGTTAGACAAAACGCACGCTTTAAAGATGATCCTATCAATCCCAGCAGTCTATCCATGTGAATAATGATCAAATACATTGATTGATTTCAATACATTGGTACTGGAGTTAGACAGGGACCATCCATACTGAATGTTTACAGATCAACAGTATGTCTTATTAAAGAAGATTAGTGAGCAAAAATGGATCATTTGGTTTTCCTTAGATGGTCAACTTTCTGTGGTTGTTCCTGTTATTCTTAGTTTGTAATGTTGGTATTTGGTTTTATTGTTCAAACAACACACTGATGACTGTCTGCAGTATATAAAAAAGTATTTGGATTAGTAATTGGTTAACTGGTTAACTAATCATGGCAGAAGTGACTTGGAATGTAACATGAATCTTGACTTCGCACCACACATCAAAAAAACAAAAAACAAATAACATTGTTTGTGTTCACATGTTCACAACATGAACAACTTGGCAACTTGTTTGATAGGAAGGCAATTTACTGTTTCCTTTCTATCAGCTCAAAGCAGTCAGGCCATTCTCCTTTGACCTCTAGCATCAAAAAAGGGTTTTTCACCCAGAGGGGTACAGCTCACTGGATATTACCGCATTTTTCTGACCATCCTCCACAAATCTCAGAGATAGCTGTGCTGTGTTGTGTATGTTGTACCAGCGTTTCTCACCACATTGTGTATCTGTAGCCTAGTGTAAACAGTTCAGTTTGAATGCCACAGAAATGTTTTCCCGAGAGACAAAAAGGTCTCAAACCACATAGCATAAAAACTGTTGGCAAGGTAACTGGGTCACTGAGTCAAGTAACCACAGAGCTTATGAATGACCAAAACAGGGGCCAAATTTACCAACACAAACTAGGTTTTGGCATTTAAAAAAAAGAAAATCATTGTTGGTATTTACAGAGAAAGCACGGTCACAAGATTGTGTGGAAGATTTGTCTCCCTGATCCTGTTGCACATGTATTTCTGGGAGTTTCTTCTCAGAGCTGTTAGGTGATATTTGAGGATTGTCCTCAGGCTCAGTCTTCTTGTTCCCTTTAAAAGCCCCACCACACTGTCTGCACTAAAACTAAACATGTCTAATATCTATGTTTGTTATCTTATTAGCACAAAAATACAGTCATCATTGAAATAACACAAAAATAAACCTTTACCTGAGTAGTAGATTCGTAAATATCTTAAACAGGGTGTCAAACTTAAATATGAGCCACTTTCAGCCCACTTTGATCTGCAGCGGGCCACACCAGTGAAACTGCCCTTTCTGTAACGACATGTAACACAATGTCTTATTTAATATAAGAAAAAGAAGTACAATTTCAACAGCATGTCTCAGTTTCTCTACATGATTAAAGCGTAATTTTCACAGATCTGGGTCAGTGACTCAGTGCTTTGTGGTTTCTTGTTAAAGTCATTTTGAGTTTGAGAATTGAGCCTTTTTCGGTTATTATGTTGGGTGTCTGTTTATTTTCCCGGTCTCTTAGTCTTGTCTCTGTGTTTCATTCTTTAGTGTCCTCCTCCTGTGTTCTTACTTTCACCTTTATGTTTTGTCCTTAGCGTCTTCCATGTGAGGTCTGTCATGTTTCCATGTCTCCACGGTCTGTTGTGTTTTATCCTCGTCCTGGGGTCAAGCCAGTTGTCTGAGTCCTGCTGTGGGTGCTACTTCCCGTTTCATCCTCATCTCATGTGCTTGTGTTCAGTTTTACTTCCCTTGTCTCACTAGCTATGCAGCCACTACCATCAAAAGAGAAATCCCTGTAGTAGATTTAATTGTTTAACTAATACTATTACTACTGGTGTAGAATAGCATGAACAGCATTGTGGGTGGAGTCTTTATCAATAAGAAAAGATGCAAAACTTGTGACAATACCATACCATACCACCTTTATTTATAAAGCACTTTAACATAAAACCAGAGTTCACAAAGTGCTGTACATGCTAAAAGCATAAGTAAAGAAAATTAAAATGAGATAAGATAAAATAAATAACTAAAAAACTAAAATAAATTGAAACATGTCAAAACAAATTGAGTCAACCCCTCTAATCAATGCCAAAGGCTTCAGCGAATAAATATGTTTTAAGAAGACTTTTAAATTCAGAGAGAGAAGAGGCCTGCCTAACATGCAAGGGTAGATCATTCCACAACTTTGGAGCAACTACAGCAAAAGCACGATCACCTTTAGATTTATACTTAGTTTTTGGTACCTTAAGGAGCTGCTGATTGGCGGACCTAAGGGAACGGGAAGGTGTATATGGTTGTAGTAGCTCCGAGAGGTAGGGGGGGGGCCCAGGCCATTAAGAGATTTAAAAGCAAATAAGAGAATTTTAAAAACAATCCTAAAATGTACAGGTAGCCAGTGGAGTGAAATTAAAATTGGGGTAATGTGCTCAAACTTTTTTGTTCCAGTTAAAAGACGTGCTGCAGCATTTTGCACAACCTGCAGGCGCCTAATGGACGCATCACTAACCCCAAAATAAAGTGCGTTACAATAATCCAGCCTAGAAATAACAAAGGCATGGATTACTGTCTCAAAATGCTGTATCGATAAGATAGGCTTTATTTTGGCTAATTCCCTCAAATGAAAAAAGCTAGATCTTACAGCAGCTCTGACCTGGCTTTCAAGTTTAAGATTTGCCTCTATTTTAACTCCCAGATTAGTGATGACCGGTTTAACATACTGTGCCAGTGAACCAAGATCTATAATAGTGGCCTCAGAAGCGCCACCAAAAACCATCACTTCTGTTTTCTGTTCATTAAAATGTAAAAAGTTCAAAGCCATCCAGGCCCTTATATCATCAAGGCATCTGAGCAGCGGGTCTACTGAGAAGCCATTTATCTTTTTAAGTGGGAAATAAATCTGGGAGTCATCGGCGTAGCAGTGGAAAGAAATCCCATGTTTCCTGAAAATAGACCCAAGGGGTAGGAGATATAGAGAGAAAAGAAGCGGGCCTAAAACTGAACCCTGTGGGACCCCACATTGAAGAGAAGCAACAGAGGATACAAACTCCCCGAGTTTCACAGAGAAAGTTCGCTCTGCCAAATAGGATCTGAGCCACTGCAGTGCGGTACTCCGCATACCCACCAACTGCTGTAAACGGGAAATTAAAATATTATGATCCACTGTATCAAAAGCAGCAGTTAAATCTAACAGCACAATAATAACACAGTCACCTGAGTCATTTGCCAAAAACACATCATTAAAAACTCTTAAAAGGGCAGATTCGGTACTATGTAAAGCTTTAAAACCAGATTGGAAAACTTCTAAAATACCGTGTTCTTCTAGGAAAGACATTAATTGCTTGTAAACTACCTTTTCAAGAATCTTTGAGATAAAAGGCAGTTTGGAAATAGGTCTGTAATTCGCAATAATATCAGGATCAAGAGCAGGTTTCTTGAGTAGAGGCTGAATCACAGCATGTTTGAGATTGACAGGTACAACACCAGAGGACAGACTACTATTTACAATGGATTGTACAGCTGATGCTATAGTGAGAAAAACCTCTTTGAAAAATCGAGGAGGGAGAGCATCATAAGGGGAGCCTGAGGGCTTCATGTGAGCAACCAACTCCTGCAGGCAGAGCAAGGAAACTGGCTCGAACCTGTCAAAGACAGCAGAACTAGGGACAGGGGTAGAAGGGTCGAGAACGGACTGGGAAGTCTGCGCTTTGACAGATAACACTTTATCAATAAAAAAGTGTAGGAAGTTTTCACAAATTTCCTGAGAAGACTCGACACCAGCAGTCTGTGGAGCGTGAAGGACCATGTCAATAGTCTTGAATAAGACATGAGGCTTACGACAATTTGCCTGAATAATAGCAGCAAAATGTTTCCTCTTAGCATCTTTTACAGTTTTCTGGTAAGAATTCCAGTAGTCTTGTAACATTTGGTATGACACCTGAAGTTGATCCTTCTTCCATTTACGTTCAGCTCTCCTACACTTTCTTCTGGCAGCCCGGGTGTCTTCATTCAGCCAGGGTTTGTCATGAACCGAAGTTCCGAGCGCAGGCAGGACCCAGTAGCAGAACACACACACTAGGGTAGGAGCGAATAAAGAAAGTAATTTTTATTGCAACTAAAGGTGTCCCGTGAGGGTAGCCTGAAAAACAACGTATGGAACCAGAAGAAACCGAGGGACCGCGCAGGGAACGCCGAGAGCGGGGCTGTGAGAGGCTGTAAAACAAAAAGAGAGACAGATTACTGGGGTGCGGAAAAAAGGCAGCATACGAGGGAAGGTGGAGTGTGCGTCTCACGGTGATAGCCGGGCCGAGTGAACCAGAGGGGGGTGGAGCTCCAAAAAGGGGTCGAGACGGCGAAGCTGATGGTGAACCAAATCTCAGGCGGACAGGTGGACAGGCAGGTGGCTCGTAAACAAAAACACGCCGAGTTGTGATCTGGGTACACAGGAAAAAAACAGTGTTAGGTCAGATGGAGAGTTTGTCATAAGAGTTCTTTTCCCGCAGGCGTACGTTACCGCTGAGAGGCGACTACGGACTGGCGTGGAGCAGCAGGTAGGGCAGGATTAAATAGACCACCTGATGATCGCCTAGGATGGGATGCAGGTGTGGGGTTAGCAGCCACGCTCATGGGCGTGGACATCCCAGCAGCACCCCAGACGCCGGGCCGCGGACCATGACAGGGTTCAGATTTGGCTTTTACTTGCCTAAGCTTAAAGGGGGCCACTGAATCTAAAGCAGTTTGGCAGACAGAGTAAAACCACGTACTCAGCTCTTCTGTATCATTGCATATGAAATCAGGAAGGCCGCCGTTCTGATTAAAAGCAATAGAGAACTGTCCAGCAGAGGAAGGGTTAAAAATACGACAGCTCCTAGCAGCAACAGGAGGAAGATTAACTTTGGTACAAGGAAGGAAAACCTCAAACAAGACAGGCCTATGGTCTGACCATACAACATCACAAACCTCTAAGTTAGAGACAGGTAAATTGTGAGTTAAAACAAGATCCAACGTGTGCCCATATTTTTGTGTAGGCACAAACACAGGTTGCACAAGATCAAAAGAGTCAATAAGATTTAAAAAGTCCTTTGCCATTGGCTTGTCAGGGCAGCACACATGAATATTGAAGTCCCCAATAATAAGGACATGATCATATTTTGGCATAATTTCAGCCAACAGATGAGAAAAGTCATTTAAGAAGTTCTTATTGTATTTTGGGGGTCTGTAAACCACAGCACAGAGCACTGTGTGAGAGCGACCTAGCTCAAACATGCTCAGTTCAAAGCTACTAGGTGAGGTTGATAATGGCAGTGGTTTACATTTATACTGCTTCTTAAAAACAACCGCTAGTCCTCCTCCTCTGCCTGATATTCGAGGAGAGTTTAAAAAGCAGCAGCCATCAGGTAAGAGATCTGTGAAAGCGCTGGACTCACCGGCCCTCAACCATGTCTCAGTTATACAGAGGAAATCCAGTCCTTGGGTCATAAATAAATCCCTTAAAATAAAAGTTTTATTACTCAGCGAGCTAGTGTTCACCAATCCAAACCTGGTGGGGGTCAGCGTGTTCGTGGCTGACAGCGAGACCCGACGCAGCGGCCGTAGGTTCTGTAGGTTCGCACCGCGCCGACGAAGATGAGGGGAAATCTTTCGTGGCTGGGACATCTGATCCGAGCCAACAACGGGCACCAGCCAGGCATCGATGGGCTCCAGAGAGCACGGAGAAAAGGCATGACAAGGTACAGATCCACGTTCGTTCCACGGAGCCGGGGAAGAGCGCGCCAAGTACGCCTTAAGTTTCACGAGTAGACCGCTACGTTTGCCCCGGCGTTTGAAACGCTTTCGCCGTGAGGCTGGGGCCAGGGTCCGACAAAGGTTAGCTGGTATCCCAGACAGGAATGGAGGTAACGCCTTATTTCCATTATAAGTTGCATTGATAAGATCACTGGCAACTCGGAGGTCCAACAGTTTTTGGCGATTGTACATTAAAAGAGAGTTGACTCTAGCAATAAAAAACAACATAAGCAAACACAACAGAGGAAGAGCCAGATGGCGAGCCACACACACTGGCGCCATCTTGGAAAAAACTTGGCAAGATGGCCAAGTTTTTTTTGTCCAGTGACAGAGCTAAAGGTTCAAAATCTGTGCACTCGTTCACATTTTCCGAAGCACTCAGAGTCTAATTCAGTAAATGCAGCGATCATTCTGTATGAAAAAGCTGTTTCATGTTTGTAGTTTCACAGTACTCTAACACTTCACTGAATTACATTTTTAATGGAGTGTATACATCTGGACAAATGGATTTTCACCATGGAGGTTTGAACAAGTTTTTTCCTTCCATGAAGCACAGAGGAGGAGTGTTAATTCATTAATCACTTAATGCCACTACATGATCCCTGTCCCATGTGAATAAGGGCTTAGCATGGGCCTCCGGGGAGTTGCGCCTCCGTCCCATGACAGAGGACGGCTTTTCTAGCACTTTGCTGAGCCTGCAGGCATCTCTGCTTCTCGTACTGCGCTGGTAACTAACGTTTACAATGCGTACAGTTTCCAGGAGAGCAGCGGGCTCGGATCTGGTTTTAATTCATCGAGAATGCTTTGGAACTGCATGCGTGCTCTTGCCGTGTAATGAATGCTTTGACACTCAATTATTATTCATGTGAGTAGATTTATTTTAATGCACCACCTCTTGATTTTGTGTTTTGATTGTGCTGTGTGTCAAGTTGTGCATATTACATAGCTCTGAACAGATTTATTAAGCAATTTGTTTTGTTTCACCCGATATATGGTTTGCACACCCACAAAGAAAGGCAATTATTTTCACAGGACCTAAATACAAGTGAAAATGACTTTAGCTAACATTTCAGGATGAATATTCCTGTCTAGACAGGACTTTAGTCACATATACTATATTTTTGGTACTGCCTGTGCTTGTGGAGCAGGTGAATTCAGAAGATAGCTATGATCCTGCATCAATTTCTACACTGCAAGCATGAAAAGAGCGTTTGGGTTCAGGGAGGGGAAGAGGTGAAAGGAAGGTTTTTCAAGCCTTAAGACAGTGCAAAAAGGTTTAAACTAAATGTCAAAACATGTCTGCACATTCATTTTTTAACATTTAACCATGACTGTGGTAGCATATTTGCATCTCATATTGCTCCATTAAATACACATACATCAAAAGAAAAGTGTGTTGATATATATTACAAAGCTGGTTGTGGGATGCTGCATTCAAAGTGGCATGAAATCATTATTTAACACACGCTTTCCTATGTGGGTTGACTGAAGACACGTCTGTATTTACAGCAAAAGCCCAGAGGGCCAACTTCATGCCTCTAGTTAATTTTAACATGTTGTGCCAGTGATGGTGAATCCATTGCAAACCTCTGGAGTTCTTCAGATATTTGGCTGCAAGCTAATTTACATAAATTTGCATGTGAAATGAGATGCCTGGAATAAGGGCAACATTATGCGAATTGCTAAAAAATAATTATTAAAGCTTTTTTATTTTTGGCTTAATTGGAGCTTATTTCTGTAAATAAACTGTGGTCTTAAACTGCATGCAGTGGTGAGTGTCCACAGTCATTTTTTATTTCCTTGATGTTAGCATACTTCTTTAACTAGCTCATTGAACACAAATACTGATCCATAGGGACATAAGAAGCATGAGTGCTTACTGAGGTTTGGATGACTTGATGACTCTGAGGTAAATGCCTTAGTTTTGTTTATGTCTTGGATTTTACATTCACTGAGCAGGCGTAACATAACCTCCTAATATTGTGTTGGTCCCCTTTTTGCTTTGACCTGTCAAGTAGTGGACTCCACGAGACCCCTGAAGGTGTGCGGTGGTATCTGGCACCAAGACAGTTTGAGTCCTGCAAGTTACAAGGTAGGGCCTGACTGAGAACCTTCATAGACATAGGGCCTGCATGGATTGGATTTGTTTGTGCTTGATTGGATTGAGATCTGGGAAATGTGAAGGCCAAGGCAACACCTTAAACTCATCAAAACAATGCTCAGGTAGGTGTTATGTGTCAAAGTGACATCCACATGAATGGCAGGACCCAACCTTTCTCAAAGCATCGTACTGCTTTCATCTGCTTAACTTCTTCCAATAGTTCCTCCTGTTGCCAGGTGTTCTCCAGGTAAGCAGTCCATATGATGTAAAAGAAAATGTAAGTCATCGGCCCAAGCCTCCTTCTTCCATTGCTTTGTGGTCCACTTGTGATGTTCATGTGCCCATTGCTGGCACTTTCTGTAGTGGACATGGGCAGCATGGGTACTCTGACTGTTCTGGAGCTATGATCTGCTAAATAATATCATCTTATGGACTGGTTTGTCTTTCACAAGGACACAAGTTAAAAGGATAATATACACAGAAATAAAATGCACATATCTACTGTATTTAACTGCTTTTTGTTTTAACATGTTATCACAGCTCACCTAAGCAACAGACTCACCAAATATATGAGCTAAAACACTTAAATATTCATCTCCATCTTTTACTTATTGTTATAATCACTGTGGAATACAGGAAGCAGGTGGCAATCCCTGCCTCCCCCCACCACAAAATGTTCCCTTTCTTATAATCTCATGTGTGTACCCCATTGGTGAGAAAAGCTTGAGAGACAGTGCACTTAGTTCCTAACTGGTTTCTAAAAGCCTGTTTGACGTAATGATGCTCGACCAGGTGAGCAAGCTGCTGGTCGCCTCACACATAGAGGACAAAAAAAAGAACGTGTACATGCACGTGTGTGTGTGTGTGTGTGTGTGAGAGTGAGAGAGAGAGACAGCCTGCTGTGCGTCATGCTGCTGTTGGGCTATTCCTGCGGTGAGCTGCAGCAAACATCATAGTCGGCTACAAGAGTGACTCACCAGGATCTCCAGCAGGGTTTTTGTCTGCCACACTACTGAAGGTCCCATGTCATGTCTTCCACCAGTTCATATGTTTCACCCAGTTTTACCCCAAAACATACTGAGGTGAACTTTATAGTGCTGGAAAATGGATAATACTACTCCTTATTCAGCAAGTACATCTGAACAGGAAGTGTTGATGTTAGTGAGCAAATTAGGTCGTGGCATTGTTGATGCTGACTGAAATTCAATGCATTGTTACATCAGTCACACTTTTTTTTTTTTTTTTTTTTATTATTCAGTCATTTCCTTGGAGCTCTAAAATGTATTGAAGGTGAAAAAAATCATTGCGGTCACTGGGCAACCATACATTTATCCAAGATGCAAAAAGGTTGTTGTCATATTTTTATTCTAGTGTGACAGATCCATTAATTTTAAGAAATCTTGAGTCAGTAACAACTTCTGGCATTTAAACCCTTGGGGTGCATAATTATTGGAATAGACTGACTTTAAGTATTGGATTGTTCATAATCTTCCAGTTCTTTGAAAAACCAAGTATTGAAAACTGAATTTTTAAATTGGATCATTTAGTCTGTGCTCATATTTATGAAAAATACTGAGCTCAGCGTGAGGTAGACTGGGTAAGCCCAGTCTCACTCTCCACATGTTTCATGTAGTTCAGACACCTTAGTGTCAAATTTGAATGAAACCCTTAAGAATCTTTGTTTTTAAAGA